TATAAGCGCCAGCTCAGGGAAAATGGAAGATAGTGGGTGAACCCCCAGCTCAAGGCTAAACTCGAGGGCAGAAGTACAGTGAGGACTTAAATGGCCATCTCAGAAGGGAGTCAGGCCCATTAGAGCAGGGTCAACAACTAAACAACTTTGTAAAACTTCCTGATGCTTGTTATTTTCATGATTCAAGGGCACCCACCAAAGTACAGGCACATGGGACTTAATGATTAATTGATGAAACAATGAATACCCAGGCTGCTTCCCCAGGGTGATGAGCAGTGAAACTCCGGAAACAAAGCAAAATCTAAATGTCTATCTGTTTTCGGGAAGAGCAAGGAAGCAGGAACCCAGGGACAGGAGATTGGATTCAGAACCTGGGCCTGTGCAGCGGGAAGACAGGAAAGTCAAAGCCAGGGGCACAGACACAAAAAGAAGGCACAGGGGCTGAGCTGAGGAAGGGCTCGGTGGAAGCAGCCTCAGTCACAGACCAGGTCGCCTCAGCACTTCTCAGAGCAGGAGCTGGACTCCCACAGGAAGGAGGCATACTCGGGGTCCTGAGTACCAGGTAGTATGGAGTTAGGACAGAGACCTCAGTTTGGAGAGCTCGGCACGAATATGACAGTCACTCTGCACCTGGCCCTGCTCAGCCTACTGCCCAGCAGCACTGTGACGAGGTGACGCCTCACGTAAGCATCAGGAGATGCTAAGAGCCTTGTGGTCAGAACAAGGCCCGGCCTCTGATCTTGGACTCTCTGTTGCAGGGCATGTCTCCACGTGCCTGCTTGAAAATGGGGTCCTTAAGCTAAGTAAGACAGGCCTACCCACCCCACTTCTGGACGGAATCCTAGGTGTTTTTTCTTTTGGCATTAGGGGGTGCAGTGTTGGTGAGAAGGGTGCCCCACACAGGCAGGAACGCCCCACACTCCAGCTGGCTCAGACCAAATGGCCCCCCTGCCTGAGAGATCCCTGAACCTTCTATCATAGTTACCTTAGGTGCCCACCAGGTGATCCCCACATGGAGGGCGTAGTCACAGCACACCTTGGGATCGGCCAGTGCCCGACACTTCTCATAGGCATCCACGAGGGAGGTCTCTTTGTCAGGTAGGACGTGGCCGATGATCATGGTGGTGCCTCCAACAAGCGCTGCCTGAGGGAGATGGAAAAAGGCAGTCTCGTCACAGCTCTGCCTGCACCCAAGTCATTGACGTTGTGAGACACGGTCCTTCGGGGTACCTTTAGGACAACCACAAACCTTACCTCACAAGGGGCTGCAGCAATGTTTGGGAAACCGTCAGGAGCTATACGGAGGTACAGGAGCCAGTATGTGACCTGCACCATTACTGTGGGTCCACAAACCTGCTTGTTTCCCAGTTCGGGGTTCAGCTTGGCA